TTCCTCCACCCCTACCCACCTCTTCCCCCCATCCCCACCCCCACCCCCACCCATCCTATTGTGCCGCAGGCCAGAGCATCAGAGTCATTTTTGCATAAATAAGTTTTTGTTCTGTGTGCTTAGCCTGAAAGAGCTTTTTTATCTATCGATTGTAATAGTAGTATTAATTGAAATTTACACACACACACACACACACACACACACATACACACACACACACACACACACACACACACACACACAAATATATATATATATTTATATATATATATATATATATATATATATATATATATATATATATATATATATATATATATATATATATATATCCACACATAAGAACAAGTGCAAGAATCAGAATCAGAATAAGAATAGGAGTGATCATTGTCATCATAATGGCAATTATTACAAAAGGATAATTAATCAAAATGTCAGTGACGTTAATAGGGATGAAATACCAATAATAGTGATAATTTCCCTCGACTTTTCTTTTCATTTCATCAAGTCTAAGACTAAGTCTGGGAACTGGGGTTACCCGTCCAGTCTGCGTCCCGACGGCTGCCAGCCTGGCGTGAGGCTTGTGGAGCAAAGCCCACGGGACCCCCACAGGTGGATTAGGGGACTTGCAGCCAGTCACCCCTCGCTATATGGGGCAATGTCAGTGGGGTGGCAGAGGTGGCGTCCAACCGGAGTGACTGCCCGAGGTTGAACCTCAGGCGGGCTGTTAGGGTGGAGGCTTGGAACATCCGCTCTTTGCGACAGGACGAGCGGTTACCACTACTGTCGAGAGAGCTGAAGCAACTTGAGGTGGCTGCTCTCTCGGAGGTGAGAAGACCTGGCAGCGGCAGTGTGGCTACACTTATTACTGGTCGGGCCGTAGCGATGGTCACCATCTCCAGGGAGTAGCCATAGCCATCTTCAGCAGACTTCAACCCTCGCCAGTAGAGTTCAGTCCAGTCGATGAGCGATAATGGTATCGAGACTGAAGCTTACATTTGGCTTCATGTCTTTTATTGCTGTGTATGGTCCTACTGATGATCCCTGACTGAAGTCAGATGGCTGATCTCATAGCTGAAAAGTGGTAAAGCAGCAGGTGTCTGCGGTATCCCAGTTGAACTGTTAAAGCCTGGTGCAGAACCTGTGGCAAGGGGCTTACAGGCTGTCTTGTCTACCATCTGGCAGACTGGTACCATTTTCCCTGACCTGCTGAGAGGTGTGGCCATTCCTCTCTGGAAGGGGAAAGGAGATCGCTGGGACTGCAGCAATAACCAAGCATTACACTGCTCAGTATACCAGGCAAGGTTCTCGCTCACATCCTTCTGAGATGTATCCAAGACCACTTGCTGATGCACCAGAGGCTAGATCAATCTGGATTCACTCCTGGTAAGTCCACAATAGACCGTATCATGGCTCTTCGAGTCATTGTAGAGCGCTGACGTGAGTTCGGGCGTGGGCTGCTTGCAGCTTACATCGACCTCAAGAAGGCGTTTGATTAGGTACATCGCGAATCCCTCTGGGAGATCCTGAGAGTGAGAGGAATTCTAACAAGGATTAATGGATTAATAGCAGACCTGTATACTGGAACTGATAGTGCTGCAAAGTGTGGTGGGGGGCCTGTCGAACTTCTTCCCTGTTAGTTCAGGAGTGAGGCAAGGTTGTGTTCTTGCACCAACACTTTTCAACACTTGCATGAACTGGAAACTGAATAGAGTTACTGTCTAAAGTCATTGTGGGCAATTCTGGGCAATATCAATGTTACAGACCTTGACTTTGCTGATGATGTTCCTATTCTTTCTGAGTCTCTGGAAACCCTAGTGGCGGTTCTTGATCTATTTAGCAATGAAGCGAAGCCCCTGGGGCTAGAGGCCTCCTGAACTAAGACCAAGATCCAGGATTTTGGGGACCTGCAAGATCTTGTTCAGTTGGTACATGCTTACGGTGAGAACATCGAGGTCACAGAGAGTTTCATATACCTAGTGCAGGCTGTCAGACCAGGAACTCAGTAGACGGATTGGCCTGGCAGCAGGGGTCATGAAATCTCTCGACAAGAGTGTTTGGAGATGCCGGTACCTGTGCAGAAGGACCAAGTTACATGTCTTTAAGGCCGTGATACCGCCAGAGGTAATGAAACCTATCTTTGGAATCTCGTCTGGATGTCTTTTGTAATAGGTTCTTGTGCTGGATCATAGTGTACAGTTGGCGGGACCATGTGTCTAACCAACGGTTGCACCGTTAGACCGGTAAAGGACCTGTTACTTGCACAATCCGCGATCGTCAACTCTATACGACCACCTGGCTCGTTTCTCGCAGGATGATCCTGCCCACCAGGTTGTCTCTGTTCGAGACAACCCTGGGTGAATGAGGCCTGTGGGACGACCTAGGAAGTCGTGGCTTGGGTAGATCGATCAAACCTGTCGTGAAGAGCTAGAGATAGGCCGGGCCCCCTGCCTGGCGGCTCGCCATGAGGAACCCTCGTAGGTGGATGCAGCTATGCGCCCCGCCAGGGTTAGCTCCCTAATGATCGAGTCGGTGACGCTGGCCAAGGACTACATCATGGCGCTGACGAACGTGGTGTGCGAGATTCGCGGCGAGGACAAGCTGTACCAGCTCTTATATCCTTATCACCATTAGTACCGACATTGCTATCACATTCACTGATTTGCGTATTACCGTTATTACTGCTATGGTCTTTTTCATCACTTCATCATCCTTCTTGGCAAATACCCTTTCTGTGTCTTCTGTTATCGCCATCCTGTAAACGCTTTTAGCTTCACTATCAGCTTTTTGTTCGCCGATATCTCCTATTCACTATCAGTATCGTCGAAAATATCAACACAAACAGTTAACATTTCCATCAACATTACTATCGATGTATCATCCTCACCATAACTGCCTCATTACCATAGCCGGTCATCATCAACCACCTCTATTAATCTTCATCCTTATCTCCCACGCCCATAGATCTCCCCCTTTCTACTTAGCTACCTAGCATCACCTATCTCTCTCTCTCTCTCTCTCTCTCTCTCTCTCTCTCTCTCTCTCTCTCTCTCTCTCTCTCTCTCTCTCTCTCTCTCTCTCTCTCTCTCTCTCTCTCTCTCTGTTTATACATAGATAGATAGATAGATAGATATGTACATACATACCATGTGTGTGTGTTTATCTATCTATATATCTATATATATATATATATGTATGTATGTACGTACACATATGTGTGTGTGTGTGTGTGTGTGTGTGTGTGTGCGTTTACGTATATGCATATATGAACATATCAATCTGCCTCATCTGTTTCTATTCCTTTCCTTTTTCATTGTGTTTACTTTTATATATTTCTCTTCCTCTTTTCTTCCCTTCATATCCCCCTCTCCCTTTTTCTTGCCCTTCCATTTCCCTCTCGCTATTTTCCTTCTTTTCAATTACGTCTTCCTCCTCCCCTCACCCTGCTGCCATGTCCCTTATGACGTCAGAGGAACACCACACGGGAGGAAGAGGGGGAGGGGGAGGGGGGGCAACCTCATCACCAAAGAGGGGCATCTGGCGCCGGCACCCCAGAGGACGGAGGGGAAAGGAAGAGGAGGAGAAGAAGAAGGAGAGAGAGAGAGAGAGAGAGAGAGAGAGAGAGAGAGAGAGAGAGAGAGAGAGAGAGAGAGAGAGAGAGAGAGAGAGAGAGAGAGAGAGGAGAAGAGAGAGAAAGAGAGAAAAGGGGGGATGGAGGGAAGGTGGCAGAGAGGGAGAGAGGCAAAAAGGAAGGGAAGGGTTGGAGGGAAGGAGGGAGGGAGGGATAGATAAAGAAAAGGGGGGGGGGGATGCACTCCTCTTACCGTCACTGTTGTATCTAGTGTACGTGCGTGCGCGCGAGCGCGTGTGTGTGTGTCTGTTTGTGTGTGTGTGTGCCTGTGTGTGAGATTGTGTGTGTATGTGTGTGTGCCTGTGTGTGAGATTGTGTGTGTGTGTGTGTGCCTGTGTGTGAGATTGTGTGTGTGTGTGTGTGTGTGTCTGTGTGTGTGTCTGTGTGTGTCTGTGTGTGTTCATGTTTCACTTACAATTAGAAAAAACAATCGAGTTTCGTTCCTTTTATATAATTGTGATTTGATAACTCCTTGTAAATAAGACATATAGTTTATAAATCAATCGCAAAAAATAATAAGATTAACAAAGTGGTGTAAACGTTATATAAGGTTCTTCTGAACTTGTCAGTGACACAAACAACTTTTTATAGTTTCCGTCGTCTCGGGGTTAATCCTTGCGAGCAAATACAACGAAAAAATCCCTATAAATAAAGCAACGCGTTCTCAGGAAAAAACTGAGAACGCGAAGAAAGCTCGTTTTCTTTCGTCCTCCTCTTTTCTTTTCCTCTTCTCTCTTTCTCCTCCCTTCTATTTTCCTCCCCTTTCTGTCTCCTTCGCCTCATTCCTTTGTCATATACTTCATGACGTCAGAGGAACATTACAAGGGGGGTGGGGCTGCTTCATCGTACAAGAGCATCCTGAAGTGAAGGAGAGAGGGGGGAGGAACTGAGAAAATAGAGAGGAAGAGGTTAGAGTAAGAAGAGGAGGAAGGGAGAGTGAGAGGGAGGGAGGGAGGGAAAGAGGTAGTAGGGGAGGAGGAAGGGACGAAAGGATAGAAAGGGAAAGAGAAAGTGAAGAAGGGAAGGAAATGATAGTGATAGACGGAGAAAGGGAAAGATACATCAAGAGAAGGAGAAAAGGAGGAAGGGAGAGAATCCAAAAACAGAGCAGGTTCTGTCATCATTATTGTGTTACTGAAGATCAAGTGTGTGAGTGTCTTTCTCTCCATGTGTCCATGCGTGTGTCTGTGTACTCGCTCGCGTGTGTGTGTGTGTGTGTGTGTGTGTGTGTGTGTGTGTGTGTGTGTGTGTGTGTGTGTGTGTGTGTGTGTGTGTGTGTGTGTGTGTGTGTGTGTGTGTGCACAGACCCCGTCCATATGTACATACACGTGCACACAAAGAGATATGTAGATTTACCAAGAGGAATGAG